CCTGATGTCAATGTCAGGTATGGGCTCCAATTAAAATGTTTATTTGTGTATTTTTATTTTATGAGTATGAGTGTTTTGCTTGCTTTATGTAAGTACACCACGCAGGTGCAATGCTGTGGATGTCAGAAAAGGGCATCAGACTCCCTGGAACTGGAATTATGGACAGTCGTTAGCCTCCATGTGGGCACTAGAAACCCAACCTGGGTCCTCTGCAAGTGCAGCCAGGGCTCTTAACCACTGAGCCATCTCTTCAGCGCACCTCCCCCATGCCTTTTGTCAGGATATTTGTCGCAACAAGAGAAATGAAACCTGAACAGTGTGTATTCAGGCCAGGGCCGTGGTGCATCCCCTTGGGGGTACATCAGATGGGTATCGAAGGTGGGGTGCACCTTGGCTTCCTTCATGTTGTTAGGGTAGAAGATGAAGTCCTAGATGTAGTAGAAATGATCACCTCCTGAGGTTCACAGCAGCAGTACGTGTCCCTTCGGTGCTGCACACAAGTTGAAGCTGCCTCTGAAGTTGGGGTCAGGAGTGGGAGAGGTGGCTCAGTGGTTAAGAGTGCTGCCTGTTCTTGCAAAAGATTGGAGGTCAGGTTACAGCACCCACATCACGTGATTCATAACTGCCTAGAACTCCAGTTTCAGGGGATCTGATACCCTTTTCTGGCTTCCACAGGTACCCACACATGTACATGTTTATATATGCATGTACATAAACACATAAATAAAACATAACAATATAATGTTTAAAATTTCTTTTTTGTTATTTTTATGTGTGTGAATATATTGCCTGCATGTGTGTAAATGCACCTGTATCATGCAGTGCCCACAGAGGTCAGAAGAGGGCATCAGATCCCCTGGAAGTGGAGTTATAGACAGTTGTTAGCTGCCATGTGGGTGTTGGGATTTGAACCTGGGTCCTCTTCAAGAGTAGCCAGTGCTCCTAACCACTGAACTATCTCTCCAGCCCCAACAATAAAATCTTGAAGTTAAAGTGACACTGAAGGGACAACCCTCTGGGCATCTCAAAGAGACAAAGTGCTCATGGGTAGTGGATGGAGATGATAATGTAGTATGGCATCCAGCAAGGTGACCGTGCCAGGACAGTCAGTGCCAGGGGTTGGCTCATGACTGACACTTCTACATCCACATACTTAGTCTGCACGCCTGTAGATATGTATCCTCCACACAGTGCCCAAGATGCTTGCACACTGACATCATAGGCCATAAGCTCACATACAAAGTATGCATGGAAGATCTGAAGACCAGAAGCTGTACTCGGCCAGGAAGAGGAGCTCCAGCCTCTGTAGAGCATGGTGTTCTCCTCTGGTCTGTATCAGGAAGGGTGGGACTTGACCAGGTAAGGGACAGCCCAAGTGATAGGCATGGGGAACTTCCTTGGGGCTTGTATGTATTGGTGAGTGGCTGCTCTGTGAGCTTGAGTGTGGGTCTTGAAGACCACTGTGTTCATGTGTCCATCCTCATATTTCTGGGCCAGTTCTGGGCTGTTGTAGAACAGGCTATTATGCCAGACCTGTTCCACACTGCAGTGTTACACAGTTGTTCTCCCATGATCCATGAGGATCTCCAGCCCAGTGGAGCAGGATGGGGCCTTCCACGTAGTGCTGTAAGACAAATCATGCACTTGCTAGATGCTGTGCCATAGGGGGTCACATACTTGAATGCCAGGCACTGGATAATGCAGTCCTATAGTGAGAAGACAGTGGTGTCAAGCAAAAACTGATGCAGGGGGCATGGCGACCCCTTTCAGGGTATCCTAGAGGAGCCGATTCTCTGCTTTGGAGAAGGGTCTGGTAACTCAGGACCAGTGATGACCTAGGCTGAGGAGACAGTTCTCTCATGTAGATGGGCTGTAGCAGATACCCCAAAACAAACTTGGTGACTTTGGGATGCTCTTGGGCACCAAAGAGGATGAGGACAGGGCCTTCCCTCACAGGACCTGCTTTTCCTGAATTTGAAAAATTCAGCCTGTGCTTCTTGGACAGCAGCATTTTAATTAGGAACATGGAATTCCTGACCAGAGCCCTCACAGGACCTGCTTTTCCTGAATTTGAAAAATTCAGCCTGTGCTTCTTCTTGGACAGCAGCATTTTAATTAGGAACATGGAATTCCTGACCAGAT